CCCCACTGCCACCCGTGATGTCCCTGGTGCTTCCGCAGCCCTGGGTACACAAGAGAGCACTTGGACTGCAGCCTTTCTCAGTGGGAAAACTTATTCTATTTAACTTATTTAAACAAAGTATTTTTTGCTAAAAAAGGGAAAAAATCCCCAAAATAAATTATATCAAAGTCCTAATTTAAACTGAAAATAATTTAAACCAGATCAATTTGCTTGTTAATAAGGAGTCAGGAGTTTCAATGCCTGAATAAAGTGTTTGTGTTATCAACCCCTTTGTGTGTCTCTGAAGTCCCTGCTGGAGCCCCGACACGAGAGACAAGAGCCATGGTGACCCCATTGCTCTCCATGCATCCTGGGGTCACTGCTCTCTCTGGAACAGAGCAGCCTCAGCCCCACAGCATCCCCCACGGTGCCTCCCCCTGCCCAGCCTGGGTTCAGCTGCGGTGCCACCCATGGGGTGCCACCAGCATCTCAACTGGGTGACCAGTTTCAGCTCCTGTTTGGGAAGCAGCCCGGCATCCCCTGTGATGCCAGGAGGAGGTTGGGGCCACGGCAGCGGCTCTTGCCCTGCAGTGCTCAGGCACAACCAGAAAAGCCACGTCTGTGAAGCTCCAAGTTTTCTTAGCGAGAACCTGCCCATCTCTAGGGCAGGGCCTGGGAGGGCAGGTTGGTATTGGGGTGTCCTGCAGGGATCCTGGCCTCTTCGTCCCCAGGGCAGGCGTCAGGAGCTGGGACACTGTACGAGGGTCCCTGTGCCAGTGGGTCCAGCTCCTGGGCTGGCTGCAAGGGGCAGGGGGATGATGAGCACAGCCAGCCCGTGCCGCGCTCCCTCCCTCCATCCCTGGATCACAGCCCTGAGCCTGTCCCCGTGTCCCAAATAGCGGTGGTGGCCGCATGGCCCTTGGGACCTTGTGTGTGTGTCCCCCACCACCGGGACAACTGCAGCCCTCACCAGTGCCCGTGTCGCTGCAGCCACAACATTCCCAGGAATGCACCTCTTCTCCCAGGTTGGAGCAGCGCTGGTGGGTCCTGCGGGAGCCACAGGAGTGGCAAAGCAGCAGTCGCCATGCCTGGGGGGGAGGCAATGGGTCCCGTTCACCCCCCCGCAGCTTGGTGCCGGGGTGACCGCGGGGGTGATGACATTGGGGACCGCGGGTGCTGCTGCCTCCCTGAATACAGCGGCGGTGGAAGCAGGCGCTGGTGCAGGTGGGACAGAGCAGGGTGTCCGCCACCGCCTCCTGGTAGGTGAGGCACAGGGTCTGGTCCTGCTGCACCGGCCGGTGCTGCCCGCAGGAGGACCTGCGGACGGAGGTGATGCTTCAGCCCCAGCTCTCCTCCATCCCGGCCCTGGCTCTGGTGCCCCGGGGCGGGGGCACTCACTTGAACTCCCCACAACTGGGAGACGCAGCCCCGCTCGCTGCCGCAGGGGGAGTGGAAGGCGCTGGGACAGCACCGGGCTCTGCCGGTGACCCCATCGGCAGATGCAGCACCTCTGGGGATAACAGGAGCTGAATGGTGTCAGTGCCGCATAGAACCATAGAGCCTGGAATCAACCAGCTTGGGAAAGCCCTTTAAGCTCACCCAGTCCAATCTTTCCAACAATTGCCCTTTCTGGACCCGTGCAGCTGGGGGCTCCTGTTTGCCCTCATCCAGCACAACCCCACCACGTTCCAGTGACACCGGAGCACTGATAAATCCACTTTGTCTCTCCCAGTGCCCATTTCCAGAAAACAAGACTTTTTGGATGAAGTGCCATCTGGGTGGTTGCTTGCAGGCAGCTGCCAGAGCATCCCTGGGGGATTGCTGACCTGTGCAGTGCTGGACATAGGGAACGGGGACCGTGATGCTTTCAGGCCTCACCTTCTGTGCCACCCACTTCAGCTTGTTCTGGCTGTCAGGGCAGAGGAAGCCATAGAAGCCCTCTTCATCGGCCCCTCTCTGGCTCGGCCTGCTGGCGTGGTACTGCAAGAGGGGAGAAGAGGGGATGTGCCAGGGGCTGCCGGCAGTGCGGGGCCGGGGAGCGGCGGGTGCCAGGAGCAGGCACTCACCAGGCAGTTCTCATGGGCGCAGAGCCCACCCTGACGGCAAAGCTGCCCCAGCACCTCGGGGCTGCAATCTGCCCGCTGGCAGAACCCGCACGCTGCAGGGGGACAGCAGCATCACCCCTGCCCTGTGACAGGGTCCCAGCGTAATGCTGGGAGCGGGATGGGGCGGACACCCCACCGCCTTCCTACGGCGCTTGCATCCACAATGCCCTCTGGCAGGGTGCTGTGCAAGTGGCTGCAGCCAAGGAGATGGCTGCGCCTGGGGATGTTGGTTCGCTCAAAGACCCTCCTGCTCTGGGGCTGTTGGTGGGGAACCCTTGCAGTGTGTGGGGTTTGCGACGCGGCACCGCACGACGGTTCCGCAAGGGGCATCTGGAATGCGGGGACAGGCGCAGGGATGTGGTACAGGGAGGGAGGGAGGGAGCGTGGCACGGGCTGGCTGTGTTCATCATCCCCCTGCCCCTCGCAGTGCCCGCATTGCAGCCAGCCCCAGCGCTGGACCCACCGGCACCGGACCCAGCAGCACAGGGGGATGATCACTTCCCTGGCCCTGCTGCTGCACTCTTGCTGATACAAACCAGGATCCCATTGGCCTTCTTGGCCACCTGGGCCCAGACTTGGCTCGGCTTTAGCTGCCTTTTGACCACCACCCCAAGTCATTTCCACCAGGCTCTTTTCCCTGCTGCACGGTGTTGCTGTGACCCAGGTGCAGCATCAGCCCTGAGCCTTGGTGAACCTCACCTGGGCACGGCCTGCTTCACCTTGGAGGGGATCAGCCGTGGCCCTTTGGGTTTCCCTGCCCTTCCAGGGGCTCCTGGACTATTCCTGGGTCCCCGTGGTGATAACAAACGCTGATGTGACCCATTTATCCCACAGGATTTATCCAGTCTCACTCCAGCAGCAGATGTGCATGAGATGTTTTATTAAACCTATTGAGCAATGTACAGTAGTGTGCAGTGGGTGTGAGCAGGGAAGGGAACAGAGCCAGCTCCATAATTTCACAAGAACATAGAGCTAACCTTGGGATGCAAATAAATAGAGCTTATGGGGAAGAGAGCTTCACTTGGAGGTCTGGGTTGACTGCTGCTGCCGCTGGTGCTGCTGGAACCAGTGCTGGTCCATGCAGAACCTCTTCCCATTCCGCAGCTCCACGCTGTGGGGAGAGAGGGGCTGCGTTAGATGGGGGAATGTGGGGTCCAGCCATGCCCTGGGGTTCCCTGCAGCATCCTTTCCCCACATCCCCCCAAAGGTCTGACTTTAAGCAGTCTGGAGCCTTGGCTTCCTTCCTGCTTTTCTTGCTGACAGCTGAAATGGGGAATTTTGGGGGTATTTGGGATAGAGCGGTGAGAAGGGAAGTGCATGGGAAGAGCCAAAGCAGTCCTCCCAGCATGGCACCCTTTGGGGGTTGCTTGTCTTGGGGCATCCTCAAACGCAGCGCAAGCAATAGGGAAGGTGGGTGAGTGAGGGTGAGGAGCGGGGAGCCAGGGAGGAAGGCTGGGTTGGGGCACTCACCGCACAGCCCTGTGGGAGCAGTGGGTAGGTGTCTCCTGGTAGCTCTTGATGAGGAGGGCAGGGATTTTCTTCCAGATGAACATGTCCTTGTAGCAGCAAGTGCTATAGGAGCTGCGGACTGAGAGGAGGCGAAAGGGGTTGATGCTTTCCCACCCTTTGCACAAGGGATGGGGGGGTCCCCCTGGGACTCTCTTGCTCCCTTCTGCTACAAGGGGTCCCCTCTCACATCCCTGGCAGTGCTGCTTTGCTCCAGGGTAGGACCCTCCTGTTTCCCTGCCCATGGAGGGCTTATTACTGATCTCCCCAGCCTGGGTGCTGGGTCTGAAGCCATCCCCAAGCCTGGTTTTGCTCATTTGGAACAAGACCAGGTCACCCCTGTGCTTGAGTCACTGGTGAGGCCCCTCAGCCCCCCCAGACCCATGGCAGAAGCAGGAGCTGAAGCTCTCATCCCCCTCCCTGAAGTCCCAGCCCCACATCAGTGGAGGAGTCAGGAATGATGCTGGGGCACCCGTGGGGAACGGTTCAACATCCCTACTTACAGGATACACCCAGGCTTCCAGTCCAGAGAGCTGCCAGCAGCAGGGAGAGCAGGGCCAAGGAGGAGAGCTTCATGTTCAACCCGGGGCTCGGTCAGCTCCAACAAGCTAGCAGCTCTTGCTGACTCAGGGCCACCGAGAGCTACCTGCCTCTGCTGCCTGCGCTTCGACATGATATACCCCCGGCCTGGCTTTCCATGACAGCTCTGGACTCTCCCTGGGGAAAGAACCGCCCCGAGGTATTGATAAAGGGCAAGCAGTGAATGGAAATTCCTTGTCCCAGCGCCTCCATCCCCGCGGTACCTGAGGGCTGCTGCAAAGTGCGATGAGCAGCAGCAGCAGTGGGTGATGCGCCGGGGCCAGCAGTCTATTTTGGGGTTGGTTAAACCACACAGGATGATGCTCATGCCTGCCAAAGCCCCGGGTGAGTTCATGTTTCCAACGCAGCCCTTGTCAGCTCGACTGCAATGCCTCTACTGTAATTCTACACTGGGTGAATGGCTTGGCAATGGCTGGGCTTTAGCCCAGCTCACCGTGAGACCCATCGCTGTCTCCCCATTGTGGTGGCTGTGCCCATCATGATGGCACCCATCACAGTGTCAGCGCCCATCACATCTCCTTGTGGCATCCCAGGAGCTCTCACTGGGGACCAAGCAGGCAATCCTGGTAGAGGAGTCTGTACTCATTAAGGTGCCTGACAAGGAGCATGGGCTGTGCCTCTTGCCCCTCTCACTGGTGGCTTCCCCAGAGCCCACGTGGATGTGATTTGGCTCCATGCACCCCCCCATTTCCCTCACTTCAGCTCTTCCCAGCTCCTTACTGACTCCAGCACTTTACATATATGGCTTAATACCAGGTAGGAAACCCAGCAGCAGGACCTGCCTGCTCCCAAGACACTTGCACAGCCAGATGTTTGCATGCATGAGATGACATTTAATTCCCTTCTGTGTGTTGTACAACAGAGAACCATGGAGCTGCTTCCCCTTAACCCCCCTGCTGCTGCCAGGCCAGCGAGCACAGCCTTGACATGCCACTGCTGCCTGTGAGAGGTGCAGGCAGCTGCCTGCATGGAAAGCAAGGCTGAAAGCATGGGGCTGACAGCAGGGCTGGACCCCAGCGCCCCATGGGGCCAGCACACCTCATCCCAGTGCGATGCTGCCCTTTGCCTTTGGGAAGGTGGCGGTGGTTGTCATAACGTGATGGGAAGGATATCCCCGATGAGCTGCTATACCCAAACATGGGGTCCCTGCAGCCACCTCTGCTAAGGGGTGACCTTTGCAGTGTCCTGTTCCCCATGGAGGGGACTCCTTGTGCTGCCTCCGGCCGCCCCGCTAGCTGGGAATGGAGAAGGAGCTGACCGGGAAGCTCTGCTGGTACTTCTTTACCCAGGCCCTGCTCGCCTGGGTGCAGATCTCCTTCCCACTCCTCACCCTGAAGCTGGGGCAGAGAGAAGACGCGGTTAGCAGGGTGCTGGTACAGGGACCCCAGCACTGAGTCTCTGAGGGGCTCAGGATTGAACCCCCCAAAGCAAGGCACCGGGTCTAGAGGCGTTTCACCCCCTGGGCTGGGTTTAGGGTACTCACATCACTGCCTTGTGCGGGCACTCGGGGCTGGTGGGGTAGCAAGCGACAATGTTGTCCCTCTTGATCCTTCTCATCTGGAAGTTGAAGCAGCACTTGTCCGGCACGGCCGGGGCTCCTGGGGACACAGCACAAGCTCAGCTTAGCTCAGACACCCCCCTCTCCATCTCATCCCTCCAATCCCCACTGCAGCTCCTTAGGGAGACCCCCCCGTCCCCCATGCACAAAGCAAACCCACGTCCCCAGAGCGCTCACTCTGTGCCGGGCTCTGGCAGCAGAGACAAGCGAGGAGGAGGAGGAGGAGGAGGGCGCAGAGCCCCGCGGCTGCCTTCGCCATGCTGGGCTGCGGGAGGCTGCTGTGAGCGGGGTCAGGGCCAAGGGGCTGCCTTTATGGAGCAACAGCGGGGCCGGCTTCCCCCAGGGCCCGCAGTTACGTGTGCAGGGGGAGGACCTGGTCCCCGGCCACGTCCCAAAGCACAGAGGGTGAGCAACGTTCATCCCCTCCCTGCACAGCCCCAAGAAGGGGGGAATCTGCTCCCAGACCATGCTTTCCCCCCCCCCCCGAGTGGGATTTTCCCTTAGCAGTGTGCAGGCTGGTGACCAGGCTGCTCCCAAGGTTTGGCTCCACATCCCCGTTCCCTTGCCAGGCTGAATGCCCCATGGTAGGAGCCCCAGGATGGGCAGAGGGTACAGAGATCTCCTTTTGGATGGGGCCAGGCCAGATTCAGCATCCTGCAGGGTCCCCAGCAGCCACACCCCCCCCACAATGGTCCATGTCCTCCCCTTGCACCACAAAGGTTTACATCCGATTGCTTTGCACTCTGGCCCTGGGACAAACACCTAAATATCCCCCCCAAAAAAAACCTCATAGAAACCAGTTCCTGCCTGGTTGCAGCAGGCATGTACACAGCTCCGTGCTGGGTTTGGGGCTGTTTGGCAGGGCTGGGAGAGGCCGTGCAGGTGGTTCCTCTTCTCTCCCCCCGGCGCCGAAGCAGCAGCTCATGTTCTTGGCCACGCTGAGCTGGGAAAGGCAGGGGCCAGGCTGGGGCTTCCTCAGTGGATTTGGCCTGGCTGCAGCTGTCCACAGAGCCCCCTCTCCCCCCCAGCCCCGGCAAATCCCAAGCGCATCCCAGCTGCCGGCAGCTGGTGAGTGGTGGGAAGCAATGGGAAGATGCAGATATGCATCCCCGCCAGCCCGGCTGTGCTGCATGAGGATGGGGATGCTGCTGGCATCCCGATGGCCTTGTAGGTACCCTGGGCTGCAGTGCACCCCTATTGTAGAGACTTGGCTGGGGAGGGCATGGGGTGCTGGTCCAAGCAGGGAAAGGTGGGAATGGTGGGGTCATGAGTGTGCTTCCATGTGTTGCTCTCCAAAGCCACTTCCCAGAAATCAGCCTCTCTTTCTGTTTGGGCGCACGTGGGATAACAGTGGGATAGAGCAAGTGGGGCTGGGTGATTCCCCAGGGCTTGGGGGTGCAGACGAGGTTGTGTTTCCATGCTTGGCTGGTGGAGCGAAGCACAGACACGTCATCATCCCAAATCCCATTTAATCTCTCCCTGGGGAGACTGTAGGAAGTGGAGGAATGTGGATGACTCTGGTCATGGTCTGGCGCAGCTGCCTGGCTCGTCTTTCTCTTCCTGGATCCATTCTTTCCTCTTACCCCCTTTCTCATCCCCTTGCACAGAGGAGGTCCTGGCCCGACTGGGATAAATGTGTCCCTTTAAGGGCAGCAAATATTCCCTGCAATAAGAAAATGAAACAGGAGCTCAAGCAAAAAGGTTCCATTGGACTGGGAAAGGCCCTTGTTAAAGACTCCCAGGCAAAATGCTGGGATGCATCGGGCTGGGGAAGTCCAGGGATGACTTCCCAAGCACCTGCAGCATCCCTCTGACCTGCTCCCAGGCACCAGCATCTGTCCCATAGGGCAGGTGAACCCTGTGGACAGGGGATTTTGGAGCACAGGGGATTTTCAGCCCTGACTGGGCCCTTGACCCCACTGGGCGCTGGTGGATGCTGTGGCCCCAGCCTCGCATGGGCACCCCACATGGCTGCTGCTCCACACGGCTCCTCTGCACTCCTGAACGGAAAGCAAAAGCAGCTCCTGGGATGACCACCACCTCCTCCAGGAGCCTCTCAGTGATTAACCACCCTCCGTGCTCACAACCAGCCCCATCTCACAGGGCACTGCTGGGGCTGCCAGGGGCAGCTGCTGGAAACTCCAGGATACCCGCCTGGTGGCACAGCTCCCATGGGAATGCCGCTTGCCTTGGGTGAGAGCTGCACTTCCAGATGGATGTGCAGGTGTGTTGTTGGTTCTGGGGCACTTCAGCTGATCGATAACCCCGGGGCGGGTGTGAAGACCGAAGTGCAGCATCCTCATGACGGGACGGTTGCTGCCGCTGGGGCAGCCAAAGCCATGAACAGGATCAAAGCAGCTTTTCCAGGTCAGGTCTGCTTTCCAGGCAGGATTGTTTGGTTTATGTCTCTGTCAGATCAGCCTTTCCATTACCTCGCGGGGGCTGATGGTGAGGTAATCACTAAATACACACCCCATGTGTGCTGTTTCCCTCTGTAAGGTCCTTGCCTGGCCCCAGCTGCTTGCAGAGACGGTTCATGCTGCGATGGGTGATGGGTCTGCCCTCATCTGGCCCCAGGAAGAGGTGGCTCAATGTCCTCCCCTGCCACCACCTCCTACCCCTGTGGAGCTGGATCCTGCCCAGGTGCCATCACCTTCCCCAGAAAGCAGCAGAGGGCTTTGGGGTTTTATTTGTGTGCCTCAGGCTGGGAATCTGCATCTCACCCCCAGAGCTGCTCGCTGGGATGGAGTGGGTTGTGCTGAGGCATCACCTGGTACCTGGCTGCCCTGGGGCTGCGGGGATGGGCCCATCTCCTGCTGTCAGAAGATGCAGGCTATAGAAATAAGGTGAATGGGATGCTGCATCCTTGTGCAGGAGAGGTTTCACCAGGAAAATCAGGGCCAAGCACCGATTTCAGACACATGAATCCCTTAGGAGCAGGCACTGCTGGAAGAAGCTCTCCTGCCTCACCCGGGCAGGAGGAAAGGCTATGATGTTCAATGGCTGCAGGAACCCAGTGAACCCAGTGGGATTGTGTGGCTATGACGTAGATCTCTGGGGTTTTGGAGCCCTCTCTTGAGTTTGGAATGTGGTGGCTGTGCTGGGGCAGCCGCCCTTTCCTGACGGTGCCAGGTTGTCCTATGTCCCAACAGCCCCATAATGGGGATAGCAGCCCCAAAGGTGAAGTTTTTAACCTAAAGCAGTGGATGAGGGGCTCAGAGCATCCATGGCAGGGCTGATCCCAAGGACTAAAAGCTTTCATTTGGGACAATGGTTCCTGTCCACATCATGGGAGGAAGGAGCCCTGTGGTACCGGTCACGAGGCTCATCTCCCGGCGTTCCATCATCATGTTCCATCATCACTTGGGTGTCCCAAGCTGAACTTTCCCCCTTCCTCAGCATCCCCCGTGTGCTGCCTGACTCATTTCCTGTGGCTTTGGCCCTGGTATCCTGGCTGCTGCCTCCGCACCAGGAGCAGCCCTGGCTGGAAAGCTGATTTCACACCAAACTCCTCTGCTTGCCATTGCGGTCGGGGCCGCGCTGCTCGGTGTGAGCGATCCCTTCCCCTGCTCCCAACCTTGGCCTTTGAAACCCAAAGGGTAAAACTGAAATAAACCCAAAGCACCACTCTGCAGGCTGCACACGCCTCACCATTCCCCAACAGCCTGAAAGGCAAGAAGTGGCATTTAATGGTGGAAAAAAAAAGAAAAGAAACCCTAAAAGAGCAAGTAAATGCTCATAAAATCATCTGCACCCAGGAGCTGGAGGCAAAACCAATAAGAAATCAGGTTAGGGACCTGTTGAGCTCTGGGTTCTCTGCAGGCACAAGGCTGAAGGCTGGGCAGTGCTGGTGGGATGTGGGGAGGTGGTGATGGGCAATGGAATCAGCATCACCAGGACGTGAGGGCTCTGCTGCAGCACCCCAGTTCCAATCATGACCCAGCCCCAGCTCCGTGGGCTGCAGCTATCAGCAGCTTCAATCTGTGGTGTTGGTGGCTGGTATTTTCACACATATACGTTGTGAAACCACCTCCCGGGGGAGGAAAAGACACTCAGTGGAAGATGAACTCATTTCCCTTGGGACCAGGCTGGGGTATTTCCCTTGCGCATCCCTGAGCTGGGGGAGCTGAGGGAAACTGAAAGCGAGGAGCACTGGATGTGACAGCGGTGATGGAGATGAGCATTGGCTGTGTGAGGTTCGGCTCCACCAGCGGCCTGACCATGGTCTGGGTGAGGCTCCAGCCCATGCTCCTGCCGGATGGATGTGCTGGCTCTGCCGGGCTGGGCATGGGAGGGCAGAGCAGGGTTTGCGGGGCTGGCCTGGAGCACAGCATCGCTGGAAGGGCTCCCGCATCCCTCCGAGCCTTGGTGATGTTTTTCCTCCGGTTGGCGCAAGATGTCAGTGCTGCACAAGGAACAGCAGCCGGTGCCGTCCCAGTGCATGGGTGCTCCGGCTCCATCACCTCGGGGTCCCCAGCATGGGGGGCTGCCGGGGTGCTCTCGGGGTCCGGACGTGCCCGCATCGCTGTCAGGGACCTACCATGGAGATGCACCAAGAGCAGCAGGGCTCAGCCAGCCCCATGGCCTCGGGTCCTTCTCCTTTGGAGACCCCACAATGCTCTCAAGACACCCCCAGCCGCATAGGAGTCATCTGGGGAGAAATCCAGATGGGAGAGGAAGACGGAGGGGGATCAGATCCATTCCCCACATCCTATAGCACCACCATCACTGCCACTGGCCATCCTCTCCATCGCCGTGGTGTGCAGGGGATGAAGAGCAGCTCTCCTGGCGCCAGCATCCCTCGAGGGGAGACGAGATGCTCCATGCTGGGGGAAAACAGAATAGAAGAGGGGATACAGAGGGAAAAGAAGCTGGGCGTGAAAGAACTGAAACTCTTATCAGCCACACGTGGAACGAGGGTGGGGGGAACGTCAAGAGAGTGTTGACTTGTCTGGAGGCTTTGGGGACCTGGGGTGACCAGAAAAATAACACATCAAAGACCTCGCGTATGCCTGAAGACAGATAAAAACCCGGAGCCAAAATGTTCTATGAATATTTAAGTGCCATCAATATTTAATTAGCAGATAGAGAGAGATTAAGAGCAAAGGGATCCATCCTCCACGTGGGCTCCAGCGCTGCGCTGTGGGTACATGGGGGCTCGTGGGGGGCACGGTGCTGCCTGCAGCAGGGCTCAGTACCAAGACTGGGGTGCTGGGACACTGAAAGAAGGGAAGGAACCCCCTGAAAGGAGAGGCTCTGCTTCCCTATCCCTCT